ATGTGATGCCCCCAAAAAAGTGCTGCCCGGGGCAATTGCCCCCCTTGCCCCCCCTAAATACGCCACTGGTTTACACTATAAAAGTCCTCTATTAATAGTCGTTCGGTGAAATATTGTAAAAAAATATTTTCATATTTTTATACTTGATCTATATAAATTGATCAGACGTTTTGAGTGATGGGGAAGTGGAAGTATTTTAGCGACCTGAAATATATATATATATATATATATACAATAGAGCAGGGCCGTGCCTAGGGTGCAATAGGTGCGTGTACATCGGGCGCCATGACCATTGGGGCAACAATAACCTTTTCATAGTCTATGTAATATTACTGAAAGTTAACCATATTATTTAATTCATGATATTTAACACATTCAACGCTATGGTTTCGATGGGTAGTCGACTTCATTAACATTGTCCTGATCGGCGGTGTTTAGTTTTAGTATTGATATTTATTTTTTCCTCGAAATGACGACGTTGTTCATAAAAAATGAACCATATGTAATATACCATTTAAACTCTATTATTATTGTTATTTGGTATAATTAATTTAATAAAATTAATAACATGAACGAATAAGTCGACTTGAACGATTGTACAATTTTATTTTGAGCCCATCTATGACAGTGTTCATATTATGGTTCATGAACGTAGAAGTTGCATAGGTACCTAATTATTTTTCATCAGCAATTATTTAAAGGTCAGTTATTTTTTGTGCAATTGAATAAATTTGATTTGCGAATAAATTATACCGGTTTAGTATGATAGGTTATTATATTATCTACATGTTTTGTTTTACCTATACAGTTTGAGTTATATACTTATAATGATTTTTAGTTGAATATATCTTTTATTAATTTAATAAATCCAAAATAAATATTTATATAGAACCCCCTATTCTTACTTAGTCTCCTTATAGCCCATAGGTATAAAAATATTTGGTATAGAGGGGGACGCTAAAAATTATTCTTGGCACCAAGCACTAATTATGCTAGACAAGGTACTACAATAGAGCTGAATTATAATCATAATATTAGGGAACTATTACTTTTAGTGAGGCCCTTTGCGAGTTGAACGCAACAAGCGACGAACGCTATAATTGTGTATTGGTAATGAAATATTTAAGTCCATTTCCATACGAATTCAATTTAAAGTGTATTTTAATGTTTTATCTATTTGATGCAATTTTTATAAAAAAGAATCACGTTGTCACCTTGTGGCCTAGGACTGTAGCCCCCGCCCCAAGGCCGTATTTAGAAATTTTTTTTGGGAGGGGTCCAAAACATGTATATTGTAATTTTATTGAATTTAGATTTTAACTTTTGATATTTGGTTTAAAATAAAACAGATAAAGATTTAATATTCTTTTATTAAAATTAATATCATGTTTTCATATGATATGATATAAAACAAAAAGCAGTCAATGGTTAATTGGAGCTTAAGTCATTTTTGACTGAAAATAATTTATGTTGGTATTAAAAATAAATAATTATTTTAAACATTCATAAAATATTGAAGAAATTTCTGGGGGGGGGTCTAGACACCCTGGACCTCCCCAGATACGGTCTTGCTCCGCCCTCTAGATACAGTCCTGCACATAAATAACCATAAAGTAATATGAAAATAACAAGCACTAATACTATAACATTAATTTATCCCGTCCATCCCGCATGTTTTATTCATTTTTATCGATCGCCTGCCGCCACAGAACACAGAATGACAAAATTCCCCTATGTGATATAAAGTTGAAGTTATTTTACCTGGGAAACTTACAGTCCAACTCAACCAACTATCTGAATCATAAACACTCTAATTGGTGTTCAATAGAATTCATCAATTTAACCGTTTATGGCACACGTTCAGACGTTTAGTTTTACGTAATTTAAGAACTAAATATAACTCGTGGTGCGAAATGTCTAAAGAACGCCATCTACATCTCAAATTACTACGATTATCCATTTTTGAATTAGATGTAAGCATTTTTATAATTTTCTTATAAATTTATGGCATCCGTAATAACAGTGAATGATGAATGAGAACATTCCATTTCATTTCGCTTCAACTTTCGCGGATTTATCTAACGTTTTGTTATATTGATAATATTATTCAAACCTAACCTCAAATTCGGCGTGGACGTAAACATTGAATATCTTCTGTGATAGCGATGAATGATAACATACAGCTTTTGAAGCACATTTTGCAAATTTAATTTTTCCCGTAGAATTAGTCATCCTTTCATAATTTTTAAGATTTATTAGTTAGTTCTTTCAAAAAGCCTGTGTAAGTATTAATAACTTTTAAGTAATTATTCTACATTTTTTCGTGTTACATTCATATAATTATGTTTTTAAGTCAATATTGTTGTGCACTACCCATTTTTAAAAATTATAATTGCGGGTTGATTATGAATTATCATTATTTGCATTCGATGTTGGTCATTTAGGTGTGCTATCGTCATGCCCCCAAAAAAGGTCGAAGCACCTGAGAAAAAGCCACTCATTGGACGTGTTGGTACAAATCTAAAGGTTGGAATTGTTGGTATACCAAATGTTGGTAAGTCAACATTTTTCAATGTTCTCACCAAGAGTGAAGCTGCTGCTGAGAATTTTCCATTCTGTACCATCGACCCCAATGAAAATAAGTATTTTTTACTATTATTACTTAACCTAAATCTTTTATTTGACCTAAGTTTTTTACATTTCATATTTCAAATTATTCTAGTTAGATTCCTAGTCTAATAAGATTTTTTTTTTATTTCCTTCCAGCAAGTCGTGTACCAGTACCAGATCAGCGATTTGATTATTTGGTCAATTATTTCAAACCAGCCAGGTGAGTCTTATAATGAGATACTAAATTTAAGAATACTTTTACTATTTTTAAATGTTTAAAAATAAGGTAGATTTGATTTGATTCATTAATTGTACCAATTGTACTTTTAGACATAGTTTCCTTATCCCACTCGACTATAACTACTCAACTTTTACCCAAAGATCTTAATTATGAAATCTATGGTATTATCTGTTTTTTAATTATTCAACAATGAAATTACATTACATATTTTTACTTCTAGCAAATTTAAATTAACTTGTATGTATTTCTTTATAGGTTTATTTAACTAATAATATCCTATAGCAATATTTCTAAACCTTAAGTACCATTTACAAATGTTAAGAATTTTCACTTACCATATGAAAGTAGTATAAGTTTTCCATACTGAAGGTTATGACTATATGTATTAGATTATGTTGAATTTTAAAATATAAGCCTATATTTATAATTTATTCATGAAATATTTAATATAAGATTACTATAAAATATAAGTAAATAAAATAGTATTTTCCTTTATTTTCCTCTATAAGTTTATACATTTATTACTTTTCATTGATATCTTCATATTTAGTTACCAATGATTTTTACTTAATATTATTAAAATAAAAATAACATTTTACTTTAGTCAACATTTAATTTAATACAATATAATTATTATCTACTCTAAAAAGAATAAATAGTATCCAAAATAATGGGCTAAGACTAGCAATAGGTATTTTTCGTAGTAGCTTAATTTCCAGTATATTTATTATAGCCAGAAAACATATACCTGAGATAAAAAGGACTGATCTATTCCTTAAATACCTGGCTAGAACAATTAGATTAAATGACAACCCACTTTCATTGGATGACACTGAATTAAATGAAGAACTAAGAGTAAAGGGCATCAGCATTTCTTAAATTATAATAACAAATTACCTAATCCCTGTGGAATTCCCATCATAAAATAAATACAGAACTTAGGTTTTTCTTAAAATTACAAACTTTACCAGAAATATAAATAAGATATATAATAAACATACTAGAAGATTACAAATACTGCCAAGAAGTTTTCACAGACACTTCTAGAACATAAGATGAAGTAGAGATTTAAAATGAAAAAAAAAAATGAATTCTTTAAACTACCAAATATATGCTCTATATTCATGGCTGAGGCAATAGCGATCCTTGAGTAAATCAAAACAATCATAAATGAAGAACACCCAAACCAAATAATATTCAGCTAATTTCTGAGTATCCTCAATAGCAATTTAAACCTCTAGATATTGCAATAAAAATTTAAAACAAATTAAATGAAGCCTTAACTAAATACAAACAAATTACTTTTATATGGATCCTTGGGCATATGCCATTGAAATAAGTTAGCCAATCAACAAACAAAAGTTACCTCCACAAATGCAGAAATTATAATGTCAGGGCCTATCTATTACAACCTCAAAAGGCATGTACAAAGAATGACCAACATAAAATAGCTTAATAAAAGAAAGTAACAAATTACAAACATTTTAAAAATAATTACCAATAGGTTAGTTCCCTGAAAAGGAAAGAAGAATCGGACTTAGAAAACTCACGTATGGGTACCTTATGGTAAAGAAAAAAACCCTACTCATCTGAAGTTTACAGTATTAAAACTCTAATTATATTATATTATAACTGAATGTTTCAAATATAAACAAGATAGGAAAAACACCAAAATGGACCAGATCCACAACATTGCACTGAGGCCAGAAACTGAAGATGATTCTAAGATGATCCAAGCATTTTTAAAATCTTTAAATTTTTACAACCCAATGTAAACAAAGAAGGAAAATATATCACTTTTAGTTAATAAATCTTAGCCAACACAGGACTTACAATTCATTTCTCCTAATTGTTCTCTTTTAATTTATTGCTATTCATATGGATACATTTTTTTAATTTTTGTTAATAATCTTTAAACAATAGCCGTAAAAGCCTGGTTTCTTTTCGATATCTATAAAATAAACATTAAATTATTATATTTAAATAATATATGTATACATTCTAGGAATTAAAAAATAATAATTTTAACTGAATGAGATAAGTGTTTGAAAAATCATGATTATGCATTTTATTATTTCATAAAATAAATATCAGATTGTCAAACATTTAGTGATGATAAGTATAGTTTATTTCAAATCTTCATTTCAAAACTGGTTGACCATAATTACGATAATGGTCATCAATTAAATTTTGATTTAAAATTTTTTTTATTAGATCTTGATTCTAAGGAAATATTTTTAACAGGCCAATAGTTTTTTCAGTGTATGTGTCTTTCTACGCTACTGAATCACACTGATTCCAAATATATTACACATTTAGTATTTTTATTTTATTGTATATCTATTAATAAAAACATAACACTCTTACCGTTGGTTTTAGAATTTAATCAATGCTATTACGTAAATTACGTTTAAAATAATTGCACATCTATAAAACTATAACTAAATTATTAATTCAATTTAATTATTTTTATTTTTTAAAAATTATGAGGAAATTCATACAATATTTTTTTAAGTTCACGTCGGGTAAAAGTATCCGTAAACCGTAATGCGCACCAAGCGTTCGAGTTGCATTTGGGAATAGATTTTTCCACATTACGTCGTACGCGCTTAAAAAGAACCATTTCGAAAATATAAGTAGTTCACATATTTAAATGTCATTAGCGAGAAAAAATGTATGTGCATGTATGGTATATTGTAATTTAATGTGTATTATTATATTATTATGTGTTAACAAACGTAATAGGTAGTTATCGTCGTTTCAATAACAGCTTTTTAATTTCGTAACAGAAGCCAGAGGATCGCTGCATGGAATTAACTGTAATGGCCCTCTTGTGTTTACAAATTTACCATTATAATATTAATAGCCGCCGCGATGCCAAAAGATTTCTTCGGCGTAATAAAAATAAAGCATTTTATACGCCGTGCGCCCGTCGATGATAGGTACACCCTCGCTTTGGCTCGTCCGTCCGGTAAAATGCCCGTAAGGTCCGGAGCCAGGTAGAGATAAAAATAATCGAACCGCCGCCGACCCAAAACTATTAATAAGGTCGAAAAATCTTAGTTTCATTCACATCGGAGGCACCGCCGAAATTGGTCTGGACAAAAACAAAAAATAGCGTCCCATCGGGTCTGATTTATTGGCGAGTAAATCTCGGTAGCCGAAGAGCTGCTCAAAGTGTGTAATTCCAGAGGACGGAAATCCAATCAATGGTTTTTTTCCCATCTCGAAGGGTCATGTAATTTCCCTTCCCCACCGCACCCCGAAGGTAATTCACTTCTCGGCTTAACGGTATTTTAATTTTCAAGTGGATTATATAGTTACCCTCCTGGTTATACTAAAATAATTACATTGATATTATGTGTAATGTGTATCGTATAAAAAAAAATAATAAAAATATATTTTCTTTTTCAGTAAAGTGCCAGCGTTCTTGAATATTGTTGATATTGCTGGATTAGTTAAAGGAGCCGCTGAAGGCCAAGGTCTAGGAAACGCCTTCTTGTCCCACATTAAAGCTTGTGACGCCTTATTTCACTTGTGTCGTAAGTATTCAATATCCTATAACTTGATTGAGAGTAAAATACTTTTTGATCCCATTGTGAGTTAAGTCAATCATGAATATTTATTGAATGAACATATAATTGCAATTTGACAATTATTTTCTGTTTAAGAAAAGTGTTGATGGTTGAATAATTGAACATACTCAATTTGATTAAATTCAGATAGATTTCACCAAGTTACCAAATATTTACCGTGGGCTGTTCAAACATATTTGTTTTATTATTTGATTAAATTTTATAAGACATAGAATTGATTTAATGGTTAAATTATACTCCTAGAATTTGGTCTTAAGCATACAATTTAAATTAGAAATTTGCATGCTGAAAAAATGAGTTATAAACCATAAAGAATTCATTTAGAATGCATAATACTTGTTAATTTTTGATTTGAACTAAGTTAACTAAATTTTAGTTATTTAAAATGTTAACTAAATTTAGGTTAATAGTCATTATTTTATGTTTTATTGCTTTAATTTTCATTGTTTATATTGTTTCTAATATTTCAAGATAAAAAGTCACATTTTTTTTCATTAGGTACGTATACAATATTATATATGTAATATTTTCAAAATAAAGTGTAGCATTGTACGTCATGGATTAAATAAACTGAACATATTATATAATCTATGACAATATAAACTATAATATATATTTTTCATTTAACTAAACGAAAATATTTTAACAAAAGGTAATTCTTCATCTATATAGGTACACTTTAACAGTCATAAAGGTCTTGAAGTTGTAATTCATTGATATCTTTTAAACTGAAAAAAATCAATTCAATAATTATAAGATATTTAATACAATAATAATTATAGCTAATACATCAAATATTCTAAACAGGTGCGTTTGAAGCAGAGGATGTCATTCATGTTGAGGGTGAGGTTAATCCAATTAAGGACATGGAAGTTATAAACGAAGAATTGCGGTTAAAAGATGAGGAATATTTCCATGTTAACTTGGAAAAACTAGAAAAATTAGCCATACGTGGTGGAGATAAAAAACTGAAACCAGAATATGTATGTTTGGCATGCAAACAACAGTTTTAAATAATTCTAACTTAATAACTATGTTTGCAGGACACTTTTTTAAAAATCAAAACTGTTTTAGTTGATGAAAAGAAACATATCAGATTCGGTGATTGGAGTGCTCTTGATGTAATATTCAAAATATCATGTCTCACCAGTCAAATGTTTATGAATTTTATTATTTTCAGATAGAAATTCTCAATAAACACATGTTTATCACGACAAAGCCGGTTATTTATTTGGTGAACTTGTCTGAAAAAGATTATATTCGGAAAAAGAATAAATGGTTGATTAAAATTAAAGAATTTGTTGATAAAAATGATCCTGGTGCCATAATTATACCATTTAGTGGAGTTTTTGAAAACAAAATTATCGATATGGAAGAACCCGAACGTAATAAATACTTGGAAGAAGTCCAGGCTACCAGGTAAATATTATTTTTTTTCAGATTTATTATTTTGAAAAAAATATTTTCATGGTTACTAAAAATGTTTAAATAGTGCTCTTGACAAAATCATTGTACAAGGTTACAAAGCATTGCAATTGCAATATTTTTTCACTGCTGGACCTGATGAAGTTAAAGCATGGACTATTCAAGTAAATATAATAAAGAATGAATAATTTTGATGTCACGTAAGATTTTTAATTGATTATAGAAAGGTTTCAAAGCACCTCAAGCAGCTGGACGAATTCATACCGATTTTGAAAAAGGATTCATCATGGCCGAAGTAATGAAGTTTGAAGATTTCAAAAATGAAGGATCTGAAGCTGCTTGCAAGGTAACTTATTATAAACATATTATGTATTCAACATTTTAATGATAATGTTTTCGTTATTTCGTTCTAATTTTCTATGTTACTATTTAATCAGGCTGCAGGAAAATATCGCCAACAAGGACGAAATTATGTTGTTGAAGATGGAGATATTATATTTTTCAAATTTAATGCTGGTGCTGGTTTAAAAGATGCCAAAAAGAAATAAATGTTATTTTTTTTAAAAATTGAATTGAAAATAAAAAATTTAATTTTATATTAATGATAATTTGTTTTAATCTGTAGTTGATACATTAAAAGAAAAAAATTGCAGCTTCTTAAAAGAATTCATTTTTAATTTTTTTGCAATTATAAGAAGAGTTGAGGTTAAAAAATATATATATATATATATATACATTTATATTATGATAAAATAATGAATTTTCAATTTTAATTAATTATTAATAAAAATACATATATAACATTATAAATGCTTAACTGTTTTAAACAAAAAATTTCTAACATGTAAATAATATACAAAATATATCCTAAAAACAATAATATGACTATTTTTTTTAACATTCAAGTGAAAAAATTTGAACAAAATTTCATCTTTCTTACTTAATTTTCAGTCACTTTTCGGGTCAGCTCCTAGTCGGTTGCCAGACATTTTTCGTGTATATGTCTGCAACAATTAAGATTAATATTTATATATATATATATATAAATACAAAGCAAACATTTATAAGAATTAATTTTAAGTATTACCTTTATAATTCTTCTTATTTTCACTTCTTTTAGTTTTTGTGGAATGACCATTGAAGTAGTGATTGTATTTCCCAGGAACAAAATAAAAAATAACCCTGATAAGACAGGAACCTGCAGAATATACATAATTAATTCATATTTTACTTAATTCTGTATTTTATTAGAAAAAACTATTTAACGACATAAATTTTTTGTTATTTTAATATTACTTAAATATATATATTAATAAATTTAAGTGATTTAATAAGATGCTTAATCATGGTAATACGAAGTTGAAAAAAATCAATCATATAAATCCATGTGATTTAAGTACACTTATCAGAAAATTTAATAAGAAACAATTTATTTTAGTCATGACTAAATAATTATATTCCAAAGGTTATATTATTTCATAATTCTAAATTACATCATAAAGAAATTGCAAATAATAAAAATGTAGTAAAATGTTCCATTTGGAGTATAATAATTATACCTCGCACAAATCAAATACTTAACTAAATATAATATTATTATCATTTAACTTTAACCTGCATATGAGATTGAATTAACTCAATAATTTTAATTTAATGTATATGTATCACATTTGAAATAACAAAGAACTAAGTTTTAGAAATTTTCAAATTGTTATATTTATGATCTAATTTTAAATGTATTATAAAGTATAAAAGGATATTTTGTAGTATCCATTTGCAAAGATCATTTGAAAATGCACATTCAATTCTTATGAAATGAATACATTTTGTACTTTTATATATATTTTTTTATTTGAATAATTAAATCAAGCCATTAATTAAAAAAAAAAAAAAAAAAATAGAATATTTTTAATAATGTATTTATATTTATACCTATATATCATATTTATTAATTTAAAGCTAAAATTTTCAATTATTGGCAGGCTTAGAACTTTTTGTTCTGATCCTTCCTAAAAAATAGACACAATACATAAAATGAGATTTCACTGTATTAACTAACCTGCCAAGTAGCATGTGGATGGTAACACAACTTATATAGAGTATATGCATTGTATAGTTGGAAAATATATCCTAAATATAAAAATGGTAATAGAAAACTAAGACCACGCCACATCCAAGAATGAAAACCTTCTATGGTAATATCCATGTTATGACGTTCACCTAATGCTTTTAGTCTATATAAGACTCCTTGCTGGTACACAAATTGGAATGATTGAACTACACCTAAAATAAAATATAAATCTTAAAGATGTATACAAAGAACCAATGCAAAATAAAACAAAAAGTAAATAAATTATATGAAACTTACTAATGAGTACATTAAAAATCATAAATTGTGGCCTAAATATAAACCATGTTTCTGAATTGGGCCAAACAAGTAACACGGCTGAAGCTACAGTTGATATGAAATGATGAACCCGCCACCAGCCTTTGATTTTAGAACCATTAACTTTCAATATGCTCTCACGTATTGTCAATGTACAATAGTACCAGACTAACAGAAACAAAAAAGTCAATTCAAGTGCTCGTTTCTTGGTAAGCAAATTCATAAGTGATAAAAAGAAACCAATTATGCTTAGAACCAGTTTGAATTTTTCATATTCATCTTTGTAACGAAACCTAAACAAAATTTAATTTTTTAAATAATAACTGATATTCATTTGTTCAAATTATTCGTACTTGTCTTCTTTATTCAGAATTGACACATTTACATTGCCCAAAATAATTTTTAGGTATGATCCGTTTGGCTTAGGCAGTGATTGTTCAATATCAGATAGTTGTTGACGACGATGGTTGATATCTTTCCAAAGTCGCTGAACAATGTCTTGACGTTCATCTTTATCAAATCTGTAAGAAAAATATTTAAATATTTAACAGGTGAATCAAATTTATTATTTAGAATTAAATAACTATTACTTTTTTAATGATTTTGCTATGAAATTTAATCTGTATTTTTGGTGACTAACTTGTTTCATACACTGTCCTTGAAGATCACTAACTTCTTCCACTTTGGCCAAATACTCTTTATTAACATTCTAAAAATTAAACATACTTTAATGATTATTTTATTTCATAATGATTAGAAGTCAAGTTATATTCAACAGTAATTGATTTTAAATTAAACAAATACCTAAACAAAAATATGCTGCTATATCACAAGAGCATGATATTATAAAGAATAATTTCATTGTAATATGGTAAAATACTTGGTAATCAAAGAAGATGTAGGTGGTAAGGTATTTCAAGGTATGACTAATAATGCTGCATAGTGTATAAAACGTAATTTGATACTTTTACTTAACACCTGATAAGCTAAAGCCATTAACTGTATTCTAATTGAAATTTAATATGTATTACTTTTCTCAAATTAGATATAATTTACAGTTAGTAGATTAAAATTTCACATTCGTAAGCGGGAAAAATCACACGTTAAGAAGCCACCAATCATAATCAATTAAACGAAATGGAATACGCACAATGTGTTGGACTTTGAGACCGTAACGTCAAACGACCGTTTTCAATCGAAACAACAGTACCTACCGAGATGACGCGAACGTTAAATACTCGCCCCATTGACGGATGGGACGACTGATCACGAGTGCACGACGATTCAATCGCGATGTATGGCTATTGCGACGTAAAAACAACGGGTCGGGAAAAATGCGACGTGTTAGAAAGAAAAAATTCGAATACAAAAAAAAACGCGCGACGTAGATACGTACCTCAAGAGTCTTGTACTCGCCAGCGATCGAGTCCCAGTTCTGGATGCACTCGTCGAGATTGTCGCACTCCATAGTAGTGCGTATGCGGCTCAATTGCGCGCTGGCAGAAGATATACTGGCCGTTAAATAGGGATACGTCCACGCGTACGTCTCTGTAGTGGACGGGTCAAAGAGCGCAACAGTCAAGGTTAAAAGCGTTGCTACAGAACCGGAATGACGAAGGTGGCGGTGGCGGCGGCGGAATTGTTTTCGTTGTTGTTGTTATTAATGTTCGTGGTCCGGTCAACGCGATGATACACCGTCGTCGGCGTTCACACGACATTTTCGCCAAGGCCCGAGCGCATAATAATGATTCACCAATAACACCTACGGCGGCGAGAACCGGGAGTGTTACCCGACGTGACGGCGACGCACAAGAGCAGATCACACGCGTGAGAGAGAAAGACTGTGTGCATTAGTACGCGAACACGTGTATGGAGCGGACGACAGCGCGCGCGCGATAGCCGGCCTGCGGTAGGCACTGGCCGAAAAACTTGTCCGGTGGAAAATAATAATAATAGCCTGACACTTTAGAAGTTTGCCGCCGTTGATAAAAATCCAAAAAATCGTGTTCGCTAGTCGACGCGTTGATAACTGATAACGGCCATGCGCGTAACGGTAGCGTTTAACGGCCAAAGAGAACGCGAAAAGAGTAACCCCTCCACTGCGACTGATCGTTAAGTACCGCGGTCAGCACTGAGAAACTTCTAGAACGCGATATTGCGCTCGGTGACGCCATTTTTACCGATCAGATGTTTGTCTCCCCTCTCGCCCGCCAACCGTATCTTTCAACTCGATGTTGGTGCCTGTCGGTCATTGTTAATCATCAACTTTCGTATAACTAATCTTATTAGCAAGTCTCGCAGAACCTGTGAAACCAAACGCTTTTCTTGGAAGAAATTTTTTAATTTTTTTGTACCAGATCACACTTCAACGACAAAATGGCAAGACGCGGACGTTCTCCGTCTCCAGCACCGAGAAGGTAAATAATAATTATTCGCTAAGACCGCGAGCTCGATGTATTCTGTTGATGTACTGTATCCGACCGCCACTACAAGGTTACCATTATTTACGCTTGAACGTTGGCCGTTTCGGGTCCGTTTTTCCCTGCGTCATCTTTACGATAATTGTTTCGTACCTATCTGAGAAATTCAATTATTTTAACAGCGCTTGATAGGCTAGATAACCATGTCTTCGAAACGTACGCACACCATGCTACAATGTGGACGTTTTACATCATCGAGTGAAACATCAATCGTTCTAACATTCTGTAATAAATAAAATACAGAAAACATTTCAGTCTGATCCACGTCATAGTTAATTCGCAATATTGCATTCAACTACGGGTACTTTTTTACGAATTTAATATATTTACATTTCACATGTGTATAAAAAAAAAGGTTATACGGCATAAAGTAATGTCAAGCCTATTAAAAAATATTATATTCCGACAATCCAATGCCATTTAATTTAATAACATTTATTTTGTTGCATTGGTTCAATTATTTTTTTTATGTAACTTATTAATACCATGTTGTAATATTTTTATGAAAACTACAAATAAATATAAATTTACAAATACTAATGAATAGAATTTTCTCTTAAAAATTACAGCTCTAAAATTGAATGTATTTTTAATCCAACTAGATCCATAAGTTAGATTCAAAAGTATTTTATTAAAATTTTAAGGTATAAGTAAAAAATCATTAATTTTTATGTATTTTCATGATTTAATTATGATGTATAAAACAATAAATATTTAAGTTACATATTAATATTTAACAAGGAAATTACTTTATTCATTTAAATTCTTGTTTGTGGCCCAAAAAAAAAATTTGGCAAAGCATTTTATTTTTTATAAGTCCTTCATGTATTAATTTGCTCAATATTGTGCAATTAAAATGAGGTAATTCATATTGATGTTGAATTTAATTTCCAATAAATAAATACCTATTTTAATAAATTATTAGTATTCCTTTACTATAAATGAAATATACTTATATTGATTGATATATTCATAATTTACATGATAATTACAAGCTGTTTCCAATGAAATTAAATAGGAGTCACCTATATATTACTCTTGGTGCAGAAATAAATAAAATAATTTTAATATCTATACAAAGTAAATAATAATATTGGATCGCATCTCAAAATAATCATGTCTGGACTAAATATTTATTATAAATAAGCACTATGATCAAATAAAAAATTTTTTTGAAAGAAAAGTAATGTAAATTACTATTTTATATTATTAATTTAAAATCAAAATGTTTTGCATATTTATTAAGTTTTTAAATATTATTTAGTTTTTATTTCCTAAATCTTAAATAAGTTTATTATTATCAAATTACTGTTAATTTTTAAGGTTTAAAATATTCGATGCTAATGTCAGATATGTTCTAACAATGGATACTGGCATTCCTAGTTTGTGTCTGAGAGTATCTAACAGATGTTATATACAATTTTTAGTGTTCTAAAATACTCTATCGAGAGTATGTCCATAATATTTGTGTTGACCACTCATCTTGTCCGATGATGTCCATGTCATATATTGTGATTCATTTAAATAATAATTGCTGCATGAGAGATGTTAAGATATTTTTAAAATGATGCATTTCTTTATTATATATCTACTTAAAATTATTATTTCAGATCAGCAGCCCCAGCTAAAACACAGCAATATGCACCTGCTCCACATCACCAACCAACTCAAGTAGCTCCAGCTCAACCCCAACAGCCTGGATTATTTGCCCAAATGGCAGCTACTGCTGGTGGTGTTGCTGTTGGTTCAGCCATTGTATGTATATAAGAACATTTTTTCATTTAATGTATTAATAAATAAAATATATATTAATATTAAAACATTGGTTTTTTTTTTTAGGGACATACTGTTGGCCATGCAGTCACCGGTATGTTTAGTGGTAGTGGTTCCAACAATGAGGTACAACCTCAAGCTCAACCTGTACAGGCAATTCCAATGGAGCAAAATAACCAACAAGGTGGAGCATGTGCATTTGAAATCAAACAGTTCTTGCAGTGTGCACAAAACAATGATGATATTTCATTGTGTGCTGGTTTTAATGAGGCCATTCGCCAGTGCAAGGAAGCTAACCGTAATGTCTATTTAATATAATTTATATAACACTTTATTTTAAATTTATTTTTGCATTTTTTTCTTTTTTTTAGGTTTAATGTAATTTAGAAAGCTGAATTAAGATATTAAAGGAAGTAGTTTCAAAATTATAATGGATTATGTTTAATCAATACTAAAATACATAAATATTATCAACCATCTTAAATATTGTTTGTATGTTAGTAAATTATTAAAAAATATATAAAACACAATATTTGTTATTGTATGCATATTGCTTGTTATAATGTAAAAATTAACAGTAGAAAGTTAATAAAACATATTAAATAGATATATTTTATACTTAATATATTTATTTTATATAAAGTAATGGTAAATGGTATATTATGTTTATTTGGGTGTAAAATTTTATTGCAATAATTTTTGCTCGTAATCTATACCTTTTATCAGTACTGATTAAAATATTAAAGTCTGATATCCAGTGGAAAACAATTATTTATTTTCAAAAGAACTATGAGATTTTATTTCACAATACTTAAGTCATAGTCAAATAAAATTATTATGAATATATAGTAAACCTTGATTATCTCCGATAATGGTAGGGAGGAGTTACATGTATGAAAGAAAAATATTGTTAATAGAGACTTTATTTAACAAATTTAAATTAAATTTTTTGTTTATTTTTATTTAACCAAATGTCATATTTCAAAATTATTGGAGCTTGAAATTTAAATCTATTAATTTTTGTTAAAAATAATTTTTCTTGAATATACATGGAAGTTAAAATTTTCATGTTTATAGAAAACTTAACAAGGATATCATTTACTTCCATAGATCGTTGTGATGTAGTCAATACCTAGTTTATTAGATTAATATTAATCATCTTTACCTTATGTATAATATGCTGCTTACTTACATACCTATACCTTTATTTTTGGTATATACAAATTATCAAAAGAATGAATACGGTAAATTGTGACAATTAAAGTTGTACTGTATTTATGAAGGAATGTTAAATAGGTTAAGTAGATTAAAAGAAATCTTAACTTGAGGATGATATTTTTGGCCCCTACTATTTTTGACTGCCTATAATTAAATTTGTCTGGCAATTGTTAGGAGTAAATATAAATGGTGTATAAAGATCATTTAAAAATTAATTATGAATTTCATTATTTTCGATTAAAATTTATTTTATGTTTAACACACATATGTCATAAATTAATTTCCAAATAGCTCTCCTTATTTTTTTTAATATAAACGTAATAAATGACTATTTTAAAATCAATCTGCTTTGCTAATATCATTACTAAACTAAGAGTTGTTAAATTTGAAACTTGCTTGAACAGAATTGATCATTAATCATTGTTGAAACTTTTTTATTTTTGAAAGCTAATTGAAATTACACTGCTTAGCACTAAACATTTATACAGGTAAGTTACAGAATATAAGTATGGGAAATGTGCATTTAAACTTTCTGAAGAAATTTCACATAAAATTATAGTAAGATGCAAACAAGTTTTAAAATATTTATTTATATCTACCTTTTTTTCTAGTAAAAATTTAAAACAATTATTGACACAATACAAGGATGAATCCATCATCTATTTACTATCTGGGAACTGAGAAATTATATAATATAGCTGACCATAAACATGTAAGCAAGGCCATAACTGGAAAAAAATTTCGGGGGGAGTCTAACATTATTATTTAATACAATTTATAGTTAATAAACTATATTCACCGCTAAAATGTTTCTACTTTTAAAAATTTCGGGGAGGGGGTCCGGACGCCTGGACCCCCCCCCAGTTACGGCCTTGTATATAGGGAACTTAGACTCTCCCAAAAAATAATGTGGCACTATTGTACTAAAACTGTTAACATTTATTTTTATAAGCTATTATTTAGTTCCTATTAATATTAATTTTTTTTTCTTTCCGATGGGAATGATACTTGCCCCAAAGGCCCCCTTGGATCTACCCATGACGCAGTATAAAAGGGATCTCATTGAAGTAGACTAAAACGTCAAAATTAAAACCTATTACGTAAATAAAGACAATAATAACACCAAAAGAATATTGAACAAAGTAGAGTAAAATAATATTTTGGCTATTTTTATTTTATATATATTAAGTGATTGTTATCCTTACGTCGACTGGTGTGCAATGGCAACATTAATGTTTATGAAATTATCAGCTGCGCTTACTGTACTAGGTAATAATAATTAAAACAATAAATCAAATTTCTTCCATCGTGGTCTGTTCTCATAAATTATTCGAATTGATACCATTGTACTCATAAGTATGAAAAACTTTTTTTTTTAAAGTTGATATACTTCATCATTCAAAAAACAGTGGTGCTATTAAAAACTTGTGGATTTTATTGATTTTGAAGGTCGAATGATTCAGTTGACGATTCAAAGTCTGTGGTTTAAACTTAATAATTGCCGTCAAGATTAATTGTAAACATACAACATTTCAATAAAAAAAATATTTTGTTTTTAAATATACTTTAAACCATAGGCAGTTTGACATTTTTCAGTTAGTGGTTCAAGCATAGTTAATACCACCCACCCACTTATCAAAAAGTCATATTAGGTACAAAAACTTACATAATTTTTATTAAGTCACCAATTTTATATAAATGACCTCTGTCAGATGCCAAGACCAAGTACCCGACTATTAAAACGAACTCACTCCAAACTCTTTGGTAGGTAGTTCAGTGAACCACAAAATGCATGATTAAGCCGCCTCTGCGTTAAACAAATTATATTTTAAAAGTGCATATTTTCTAAATTGTATACATGTTTTATAATACTATTTAGATAGAAATTTTATTATAATACAAGTATAAATATTATATAATAATATTTATGGCAATAAATATAATACAAATTAAATTAAAAATGATTTTGGAAATTAAATTTTAACTACAGCTGGTATCGAAAATGTAAAAATAATCATATTATATTAAAATGGTTTCAATTTAATTTCATTATGTTCTACTAAAATAAAATGTAAGTTTAAAAAGTGTAGAGTCTAATTAAAAAGAGGGTCTCTTAAATTATTTCTCTGGACGAATTTTTCCCCCAGTCCATCATTGGTCTATTTTAAAATATTTGTTAAATTTTATTATTGTGTCCTTATGATTAGGTATCTGAATGACAATCATGTTTAAGAAGAAACTATGAACTTCAACTTATCTTACTTATTCCTACTTTATTGATTATGATTTATATTGAATATGAACGGTTTAAGAAATAATAAATAAATATACAAATTCAATTAGTTCGATATATGGTGCGCGTCTATAAAATAGTAATAATAAATAAATAAAAAACCTTGAAAATATTTGAAAAGCTTAGAAGACGAATTGATCAGTAATATAAATTTAACATATAGTGTCAAACAACAATACGAGTGTGATATGAAAAAAATAAACAAACAAAGAACATGTATACATTATATTTCACTAATTAGTACGTATTATATAAAGGATGGTATCGTGATTCGTGTTTGTTTTATGAATTAGTCATAATGTGTTGTGTCTGCTGTTAAATGTTAGTACCTACTACAATAGCCCACTATTTCTTGAAAAACAAAATTTAATATTAATTTAATATCATTGCAAATGGAATTGTTTTCTTATATTCCATGAACTATGTTAAAAATTAGCTTGATAAGTATAAAATATTGAATTTATAATAATTATCTCTATAATAATATTTTTAAGCGTTACCAACGGGAATAATTAATGCCTATCGCCATCTGTAATTGTTGTTTGTTCGTAATTAAAATCTATTTATGCTTTCGAAAGTTGTAAATTAGTCATTAGTTCAATACTCATTAGTCATTAATCTTTAGTCTGATTATTCACTGGGCAGTCCCGAAGATGAAAATCAAGGGAGGTGGGTGAATAGTATGAAAAATGCCGACTACAATTTTTTTTACTTAACGTATGTAGTATAATTCACTATATGTAGTCGTATTTTTACTTTTTAACATGTATATATGTGTCAGTATCGCACGTTCTTAAAATTGATAATTTAATTATATATAGGTATATAATAATATTTTATATTGTTTAATAAATAGTTTTATAAATTTTATTTGTGTATACACTGTATTACGAAATATGTAATATTTGTTCTCCGCAAAAAAAATTAGGTCCTTCTAGGCAATAATGAAATAAGTCTGACTACCGACTGGTGTTTTTGGTGGCGGAGTGAGATATTCCTCAAGACCCCCCTTCGGGACGGTCATTATTATTCATTTATCGTGATAACGTGCATTTGATACACTGAACCGTCAACCACAAAAACGAAAAAATAATCTTAACCGGGAAATAATAAAGTAAAAATTCTATGGTGTCAGACAGTGTTTATAGATAGGTTATAAATTAAGAGCCTATTAATTAGATTATACGGAGTATTATGTTTGAAAAAACTTGTATTTTATAGATGTAAAACGTAATCAAGTCAGCGTTAATCAATAAAAAGAAATTGTTTATGTTTGCCGCTTTTTAAAATCAAACCAGCTTGAAGTGTTCCTCATTTGCATAAAAATTCTTTAGGCACCTATTTATTACCATCCAAAATGTGTAATTTATAACAAATGAAAGATGAATATTGGTTTAGGTTGCATGAGATTAATTATAAGTCAAAATTAAATAAATCCTTTATCTTTTATTTATTTATTTTTTTGTTCAATTTAGGTTTTTAGTTTTCTAAAATGTATTACATAACATTTAGTTTCTTTAACTTAATCGCGTGGTAATTGCTGTACGGTGGTCTAGAACAAAACTAAAAAAATCGGCTTTTGCGTGATGCATGTAACCGCTGTTACCAAATACTCTAAAATGCACTATCTAAGTTAATAGCGCAACCAAGATTTCTTTTCCGGAAAAGGGCTTATACATTCAAAAAAAATTTAATTTCGAAAGATATTTGGTGTGGAGAATGAGATAAGGCTATGTTAACTACGAATTTCGAATTTGCCCCCATTTTAAAATCCTGGCTACGCCATTGTCATCAACCTAACTATCAGCATCGATGGGAGGAAGAAGCATATTTTTAATGGTACCTCCTGTCCCATAAACTTTTCGTTAATAAAAATCATGTTATATACATTTGGATAGATTCAATTAATTGTTCTTTTTACCAAAACAATGGATGAGAAAAATATTAAGTTTTGGATCATGGATACATACAAACTATTGTCACCGCGTATTGTAACGAATGACGATAAACGAAGATTTAATCTACATTTTAACACTGTTTTAGGCCACGACTGATTATGGACGTGTATAAAACTACTACTCTGGTGCAATTTTAACTCCGACAATAGGCCGGGTCATCGCTTGATTGAACCTGGCTGTAATTTTGTCTATGCGGATAAATAAGGCCGAGAGATAATATTGAGACATTATTAAATTAGTTACAGGGATCATAAGTGTAGATTTGCATATGAGTCATTGAGGTGAGAACTGAGAGTACCTATAAACATGATTTTATTGTATTTATAATTGTTATTATGAGCGTCTATGATATATTGTATAGTAGTGTGCAAATAATGTTTGTAATTATTATAATTATGACAAGTAGGTCAAGCTAATATTATGATAATATTATTGCAGATATTATAATATATTTGTTATTAGTAATATAAACTATTATGTTATAAACTATTTTTCTTATTTTTATAACTCTACATATATGTAGATGAGATATATTACTGTACACGATGAATTTCGGTTTGATATTTAAGTAATTTTTATTAAAGCCGTAAAAACATACTATAACAGTTAGTTCATTTGCCAAATAAATAATTAAAAAAATGGCGGCGTTCGAACCGAACCAATAATTTTTTAATCTTAACTGGATACAGTCTTCACTCATTTTTGGTTCGTGCATTTCATGTAGTACGTTCGTTGAATATTTTTCGTATTATAATCTAACGTGTTCTTTAATTAAATACAATTGACCATCTCCATTTCTGTTAGAAGTTGTGACTTTCTAGTCTCGTGTCATTAGTTCATTTACGTTTGAAATTATTAACTTGTTATATCGACTATAGTAAACTATTTGCGTATAAGTGATGTTTCATCAAGTATTGTCTTGAGAGACGAATAAGTGGCTATGGTTTTATGAAGATAATGAGGAGTAATAATTACTCTATGATGACAATGCATAAATTAAAACTATGTAATTTATAACACAAATAAATATACAAGGTTTGACCAAAACCAGTTGTCAGCACATTATCTTCACAAGGAAAGCAAGTGCTTGTCAAAGTAATACTAGGTACCCATTTACATTTACTACATACGAATTTATTTCGTTTCACGTATTATTTTTGCATAATTTTTTATTTATTTATTTATTTATTTTTTTTTTGTGCTTATGTGATCCATAATCAGTGCAACTGAATTTTTCAAACGTATTTATGTAGTTCAAACAATCTTAAATGTTACACGCGGAACGAATACATTGTTATTCGGTAAAAACAAAGGAAGGGAGAAATTGAAAAAAATGTTACTCACCGCATTTTAATCTAATATTAATTACACACACCGCCAACGATGTAGTAATATTAACAAACACGTTCGATAATTTTTAAGGCAAAAAGTCGATTTTCGTTTTCACATTTTGCAACGGTCGCGCGATTTGCTAATGGCAGGACCTACAATTGTTGTGTGTAATACGACATTTGTAAATGTGTAATAAAATCTCATTAGTCGGGAGATACAAAAAACAGTGATTCGCGTGAACACATATCGTAGAATTGGTGTGTACTGAGTTAGGTACATCATTCTTAGGATACAATTTAATCGATTACGAGGAAACTCATCAGTGGATTACATCACGGGCAATAAACATTCATGCAAAATTATTCGGGCAGAACGAAAAATTGCTTTAGACCCTGGCGAGTGTCATTTCCGCGGCACTAGAATATGGTAACTGGGTAAGTATAGCAAAAATGTCTGTTCATATACCATATACTATGATATAATAAACTTATTATAGTTTTTTTATATCATGCCATATACCATGGATATATACAAATATTAGTATCGCATAATCCGTATATTCCATTAACTTACCACAGATCATGTGGCGTACATAGGCGGCAGTGTTGGGAATAGATAATGCAAAATTTATCTAGATCATAGAGTAATACTCTTTACTTCATGACTTATTTACAATGCCAATTCGTCTAGTTCATACTTTTTTTCGATCGAAGTTAATAAAGTACCCTTTATCTTAGTTCTGATAGCGTTTCTAATGGTAAAAAATGTATGTTTTATTTATATACCAATTCTGAACATCTGCCTTTTTGGTATTACTTTTTGGAAAATTATCTACGAATGTCGAATGTTACGATGATCACAATGATAGACGGTTCTTCGAGGTTATACAAAATTGTGATAAACCAAGATTTGAATACATCCGAGTTAATTTGGTTATGGTGATCCATTGAGTTACATTACTTCGAAAAACCAATTTCAAATTTGCATATCCTGCATGTACACCTAAAGGTAGCCTTACTTTGCCCATCGGTATTTGAACACTTATCGAATCTGAGTGGTTTTGATTGACCCGCACAGGCGGATGTAAGGTACTGCGAACTATGCGGCCGCATGGGGCAGAAAAATGTTGTTGAATGTTGGTTTTGTTTTTTATGAAATACCTAAAATAACATATTTTTTAAAATGTATTTTTACCATTACAAATTTTAAACGGCATACCTATGAGGATTTTGTATTCCTTTACTTTTAGCAAAGTATATTATTTTTTTTCCAGGAACTCGTTGATAATAAGGTCGACGACTATGTGGATTGTTCATGAATATCACGTTTTAAAATTTAATAAATAACATGCACGGGCAGAGAAAACACGACTTAAATAATGAGGACCCAACACAGATATACAAATGTTAACATTTAAATTATTCCGTCTTTGGTTAAAACGCATCATTTTCTGTTTGAAACAATATCAATTGTTAGTTTTATTAACAGAATAACACAAAGTTCTACAAAACTTATTTATATACATTTTTATTACAATACGATAGTGATGATTAAAAAAGTTAATATTTTCTGTACCGTTTAAAACAAAAAACATAGTCATTTACTTTTATTATAAAATCAAAAACTGTTGGCTAAAAAGTATTATTATATTATATTACTCGTATTCACAATTTATACATAACAACCTATGGATTTCAATTATATTGTTTATTGTTGAATCTCAACATTGCATTTTGTCATTCATCGTTCAGCAGTATCCAGGTATTGTAACCGACAACTTAAATAGAAAACAGAATTAGCAGCTACTGTTATAAGTAAGTATATTTATAATAATATTTTGAATTAAAATTAGATTCGCTCTACAGAAGTTATGAATACACGGAGATAGTCTTTTTCTAACTTTTTTCTCACTTCAACTACCAGCCCACGGCGAGCAACGTCAAACAAATCATCCTATCATAGGAGAAGGATGGGGGCACACGTGTCGAGTCTTTTACTAGCGAGAACAACATGAAGTATAAGTTGTCTTCATCGGAATCGTATTGGCAAACCCAAAATCATTTATCGTTAAATGTACATATCATCATGATCTTCAAGGATTACAACGAAATTTTACAATATAATTTTCATAACAAACTTTTCCTTTTATCATTTTACATCGTATACCCGGAAGGTACATAAAATATTTCGGATTTATGAGTACGATAACAAGAAATATTGATATATAAGTTACAAACTATCAACAGCTAATGATAACTTATATAAATATTAACTATTTTATCGTTTTTCGTGCCATTGTCCAAAACATGTCTGAATTCAACTATAATAATATAAACGTTTATGTTTAGCGCAAATTTTTTCTTTAAATCATTGTTCTAATAAATGAAAAGCAGGATAAATTAAAAAAAATTAATGGACCTTAGTAAAGTAACAGAATACTGATAATATGCTAGTTGACTTACATCAGGAGTTATGAAAAAATACTTTACATTGATCTTAAAACCTATTTAAACTTCTTAATCTGGCACAAATCATGTAAAAACTTCATTACTAAATGTAATTGTAACTTACCAAAATAACACAAATACCTTATATTAAAGTGTAAATTATAACTTTTTCAGATTCTCATAATCTATTTAGACTATTTGATAATAGAATACAATAAATAAGATGAGTGCTTCCAACATGATGAGTGAAATCAAAACAGGCAAGCAAATCAAGAGGTAACACATTCAAATTCATTCCAAACATGTTTTATATTTTAACATTGAAAAATAATTTATTATTATTTTGAATGAATCTTAGTAATCATAAATTCATTTTTAAATTATTCTTTTTAAGAAATTCTAAATTATTGTGATTAACTTATCAAATCAATATAGGACTGAGGAATATCCCACGATTTTGGAAAGTTATGCGCGTGAATGTCCAAATGGAAAAAGAGAAAAAAAAAGGATTTGCAAAGCTTTACCTAAAGATGGGTATGATCAAATAGTTAAATATTTTTTAGATTTAAATTTTTAAATATTTAACTAAATGGTTACTAATTATTACCTTTATATTTGACTATAATAGTAATGTATGCCTTAATGTTTAGAAATAACGGAACTCAACAGAAGAAGTTGAGCAAAAATACGGCAAAAAAACGTAAACGCGCTCAGCAAATGGAATCAACGACAAGCATCATTGAGTAGAGTTAATTTAATTTTTTTAAAATTCTTTTATCTAAATTCATTGTTATTCTACAGAACGGTGACTCAGTATGAAAGTCTACCGAAAAATAATAATTCAAAAGTGGTACCAAATGAAATTATCAATCCTACTGATGGACCTCATAATAGGTATTTATTATAAAATAATAATTTAGTGTACAAAAAATATTTTTTTTGCTAACACAAAGCTTCTTATGATTACTATTTTGTTTTACTAAACCAAATTGTATAAATCTATATCCATTATATTTTAAATTAAACTTAAATCTAGTGGTCAAAAAACATCGAATAATTACAAGTCTTCAGATCATAATGGAACCAAAAATGTTGAAATAAAAACTAACGTGATTATAAGTAAAGATAAAAACGAAAAGGTTTTGGAAGATTTAAACGTGCCAAAAATCCAAACCAAAGGAAATGGAAATTGGTATATTATTATTTATAACAAATACATTTATGATTTATTTTATTAGTGCCACCGAATTTTTATTTATTAACAAATAATTGTTTATGTTTTCCAGTGTACTTAAAGAAGTTGACGAAAATATGTTCAATTTACCTAGAGACGTTGCTCTAGCCCATTGTATTGCAGAAGATTTACGTATGGAAAGAGGAGTCGCGGTTCAATTCAAGTAAAACTATTTTAAATTTACATTGATTAAAACAATAATTATTTTTCTGGCTATCTAGACGTTATTTTGGAGGTATTGGTCAACTTATGGACCAAAAACTTACCGTAGGCGATGTTGGAGTGGTGGTTAAAAACGAAACAGAATATGCTTTTTATCTGGTGACAAAAAATTATTGTAACGGCACGTCGACAATGTTATCATTGTCACATGCATTAAAGTCGCTCGTAGAAAAAATGCAAGAAAGGAAAATAATCAAACTAGGTATTCCTCAAATTGGCTGTGGAATAGATGGATTGGAGTGGTCAAAAGTTAAACCACTTATTGAAGATATTTTTGCCGGATCCGGAATCGAAATAACTGTTTGTGTACCAACAAAAGTAAGTGTTGGAAATAACAGAATATTTTATTGTTTTCATAATCATAAACCTATTTTAAGATATTCTATCGTCCATCACCACCTCAAATGAAAGTGTATATAACACCTAAGAAACTATTGGAAATTAATAACAAGCTAAGTGACTTATTATTACTGATTGATATTGAACAAATAAAATCAAATTATTTGAAAAATGACTTGGTAGATGCTGTAAACTTAGAATATCCTTCTTTCAAAGAAAAGTAATTATTTTACAACTGTATTACATTATTTTAATTGTTGTTAGCTAAATATATTATAAATAATAAAACAAAAATAAAACGTGAACATCAATGCTGAGCACTCTTAACAATGATCTAAATGTAATTCGTACGTTTTAAATCCTCATTTTATTTTGTCCGACCATAGATTAATGAAGGATATTAAGACTAAAGCATTGAAGCCTGGTGACGTTACCTCTTATTTTATAAAGAAAGAAAATATACACTGTTTATTCACTAGTCAGTCAGCATATTACAGTTCACTAGAAAAAGGATTTTTAACAATAAAAAACTACGTAAGGAGAAGTTATAGGAACTTTGCCATTCAGAGTGGTCCCATAAAACCAACTGCATACTTTAAGCACATATCAAGAATTGTGTTATTGTTACGTTCAATAATTTATGGATCAGAATTATGGTTATGCGGTGATAGTGATCAGACCAACGAAAAAGAAGTGTACGAGCACTATTGTAAACAAGTTTTTGAGGAAATTAGACTTTCAACAAAGTCGAAATATAGAAATAATCTTCAGATAAGCAAAAGAAACAATCCACCGAAAATTAATTTGCAAAGAAAATAATTTTCGAAAATCCATAAGAAAAAACTTACACGATTAATCAAAATACTAACACAGTTGTGCATTTAAACGAATAATAAATTATTTAAATTATAGCTTATCATAATAGTTAAAAGTTTTCGGAGTATTTGTAGTACACATTATTTTTATAAACATAGAAATACAAGTATACAATATTGTTTTTGCATTATATTTCGATTTCACAAAAAAAGTTATCCACTCAATATAAAAATTTAAAAATTGCGTTAAGTGTCAAATATAGGTTTCCATTTCGTGAAATGGAAAAAATAAATGTCCATTAGATGAACCTAAAAACGACTTACGCGATATGATCTAAGTTCATGAAATAAATATCTATTTCGTGAAAACTACGATTACACTAAGTGGACTTTAGATGATACATTTGAGAATTGGAGAAAAAAAAAATTCCAATATTTTTTTGAAAAAATTCCAAGTAGATTCTTGATCATGTGGCAATACTATTCGTATTTATGATGATACGAATTTCTAAATTGGTAGTTCATTTAACTTAGACACAAAATATCGGAGTAATATTTTCCATGTTTTACGAAGTTTTGGTTTTATTTGATTGACGTTTCGTACGTTTGATGTTAGAAGAAACAAAAATTAATATATTACAAATCACAAATAAAACAATTGTCATATCTAAGAAAAAAATCAAATATGCAGTATGATTTTTAGCATTAAATACTCATTTCATAAAATTTGAGATTAAGATAAGCAGAGTTTTTCATCAAGTACTGGCTAGCTATTTGTTTTAATATTTAAATATTGTTATCATGTTCACTTGGGTTTTCTAATCTTTGAACAGCAGTTTTAAGAAATTAGATGACGGTATTCGATCGTGTAAGGAGTTGCAGTTTTAAAGACTAATGTTTTCTTTCGGAATCTGAAAATTACGTATTTACTAAAAAAATTACGTAAAAATAGCTATGAGTATACTCTAATTTAACTGTTTATTTATAATTATATATTTTTTTTTGTAATTTTAAAGTTAATTTTTGTATTAATTATTTTTATTTGTATTATATATTTTAATATTTTGAAAAAAATCATTTTATGTTTTTTTATAAAAAAAAGTTCAAGTTGTCGCGGCACACCTTTCAAATTTCACGGCACACCCTTTGGGAAACACTGATATAGATAATACAATTGTATACATAAATATAATATATACTGATAATATATACTAGTATGTATAGTCTAGGCATCGAGATAGATAAACAAAACTATAATATTATATAATATTGTGTATCTATCTCGATGAGTCTAGGTAAATGTTCGCTTTATAGAAACTGTTAGATATGGCGTTATCGGTAAAATTTAACCGCGTATAGCAGGGATGGGCAATTCGAAGTTACAAGAGGGCCAATTTTTAGAAAATTAAAATTCAGCGAGCCAGACCATAGGTAAATAAAAAAGATCATTCAAAATATGAATTTTAATTAGCATTCAGTGGCGTATTTAGGGGTGGTGTCCTGGGGTTAAACCCCCCCCAATTTTTTTGTAGTTCTAATTATTACTGAAGTATTTCAAAATATTGTTGACGAATGACGAAATATTTTAAAACTGCTTTGAAAATTGAATAATGTATATTTCATCTTATACCAGAAAATAGGTACTATTCATTAGCAAAATATTATTTGAACTTTCGCAGTAAACCGTGAACTACGTAATTCTTAGAATTGTATTATCGTTTCGTGATGTCGGGTGAGCCGTATTATTGGTTATCGCCTTATTATCTTTCTTCGAATACAAGTGATTGTCAACTAATTACTATAGCAAAGGCCGACTATATAAAGTATATACTGTGTACAGTGTACAGTACACTGGAAGTACCTACAACGATTTTATTTTTTGCTGAATAATTAAAAATTTAAGTAGATATCCTAAGATTTTTTTACTAAAAAATTACCATTTATGTAAGGTATTAAGATGTATTATAATCAAGTATGAATTCGTGATGAAACTATGTTAATATTTGTTGAGATAAAGTATTGCCAGGAGTCAGGACACCCCCCAAAAAAAATCTCAAAATACGCCACTGTTAGCATTTATATACACCGAAATAATAAATTCAACACACACGACACGGGAGCGTATTTTAAGGGGTGGCGAAGGGGGCGATCGTCCCTCTGGATTCATATTTAATGAATCGATTATATGTGAGATAAACATTTCAAATTTTTTTAAAGTGGATCATTTAATAATGAAATCAAATTACAGGTAGCTGTGAATAGGGAATTGGGCTTTTTGTCGGGTCCATTCTTAGTGAAAAATCAAATAAAACACAAGACAAAAATTTCAAAATACAGATAGGTGTTAAAAAAGAACTACACAAAAATCAATTCTAAGTGGATCCGGCATTTGATTAAAAAAAAAAAAAAAACCACAAATATTAAGAATTCATCTGATTTAAATATTATCAAAAATTTGACTTGCACATTTTTAGCTTGAATTAAAAAAAAAATTCGATTCGCCCCCCTCTTCCCAAGGAGTAAGTCTAAATACGCCCTTGACACGACAACATAACACGAATGATACGAAGAAACTGTTGTAGTTAATAGTTTGGTACAGCTATGGTTGAAAGCTATACGTATGCATACATATGACATGTAGACATTTATCGATATTTAATACCAGATAGCAATTATAATATCAATAAGATAGAGTATAGACGATAAACTTTTAAATTGAGTGATGTAATTTGAAATTATAACACGGGTCAGATAAAAATGGCTCGCGGGCCACCAGTTGTCCACCCCTGGCGCATAGGTAGGTACCTTCAATTTAATTATTCATTAGTTGGACAAAGAATGGCGCTTTAGTGCGTTACCATATTATTGCTAATAATTGTATTATAACGATTATTTGACAAGCAAATCCTACAAATTATCCGTGTATAATTCCATTGAATTATTCGATAGTTGGCCGTCCACCGATAATTACAAGTACGCGTAAATTATTTAAAGTGGCCACAGTGTTGTTTACACGTACATTTATTTAAGTATATTTTATTATGTAAAAGTTATTTTTTTCTGGATAGGAGTGGCAAATTTAATTTTACATAGGGGCGGAAAATTGTTAAATCTGCCCTTGTTGACCCGTGTTCCGTCCAGGTATACAATAGGTCGAGTATCATAGTTCGCACGCAACGTGGTTATTTATCGTAAGAATTTGCACCCACGACCGGCGTTACCTTTTGCGAGGCCCTGGGCTAAACGTATTTTACCCATAACTGTAGTCTCACCGCGTAGCCTTGCAGGCTGCAATTAAAGGCGATAATATGTAATCAGACTCAGTGATAGCTGCTCACGATATGGGGTAATGAAATTTAAGTAATGCGATAAAATAAATGTCCTATGTATCCCGGTTTCCATACTGTGCGGCATGCCGTACCGGTCGTCGTTGGTACATACATTTGTGCATACAAGTTAAACATAATATTGTTGTTTTGTTGGTTTTTTTTATTACACGCCAACAGATTTGTCAACGGAAAGCGCACTCGCCAGGCGATCCACACATTTCACGTTTTATTTTATGAGATTTCCGTACATAACATTCTTCACTGAAAATGTTAAGCACGAGAGCCAGGACAAATGCCCCGTTTCGCTTCCCCCTAACGTTGGTCCCGTTTGCATCTGCGAGGAACCATGTCACTGCTCTTCATCGAAAACTTGCTTACAATCACAGATGTAGATAATAAATGTGGTGTTTATTATCTTTCATTATCTGTAATCAATTGTATGTTCCAATATGGCCGCCGCCCTTATCACGGCCGATCGTGCGCGGTTATCACGGGAAAGACTTGTTGAAAAATAAAATAAAAAAACTCTTATGTACATAAAAAATACACACGCACAGTCCTATTATCATATCACCGTATGTGTACGACCGCCGCGGGTCTGCTGTAGTTACTTCTTGCTGTGTAGTTAGTAGTCACACTAGTGCACCATCTGTCTACGTAGGTCGGACGATTGCTGTAATACTTTTTCGTTTATCCGCGTGCCTATCTGCGCCACTGCCCTGTATCGGCGTTTCAGCCGCCAACCGTGCTGCTGGATCCATCGTCGTGACGGTGATGTTCGTAGGAATCGTACGCGTAGGTCCGTTCTTCTCTACCCGTCCGATTCAGGTGAGAACACGAGAAGTATAGTCTCCAGGGGTGTTGGAACGGTCGCTAGAGTGGCCCGGTTAGTTATTAGTTAACCGGGTCCATGGGCAAGACGGACAGCCCCTGTGCGTGTTGGCATATGTTGGCACATATTGAAATTATTAAAATAAATTGGTGGCTGGGGATAAAATCTGTAATCCATCTATTTATGTTGATTTATGTCTATGTATTTATAATATTTGTTTTGTTCTTAAGTTATGCAAATAGTCGAATGTTTGCAGCGATTATTTTCTGGGGTGTACACGTTGAATCCTAGTTACTAGTAGATCCTGTACGGCTAAAGATACTATGGAGAACGACGTTAAAGATGAACTGAAACAGCCAGACGAAAATCGGGGTAATACAATTTTTACTGCACTAATACGATATCCCCTATATTTGTTTTTATTTACTCCTCAACTCCCGAGTTCACCAGTTTATTTTTACACATTTATTTTTTATTTTTGGTTTTAATTTTTATTTCTTTTTACTAATCTACATGTAATATATTTAGTTTGTTGCACTTTGTGTGGTTTTTTTTTTATTGAATTATAAATTACACATTTTTTTTTGCATGATTGTCAAGCAATTCAGTGTATCTACACACTCCGTTTTAATTTTTTTACTCCTGTGTTATACATAATGTATGAAGCCATGGTAAATTAATATTACACTGAATTACTTGTATTTGTATGGAAAATGGTTTTTTTTTTTTGGATTTAATTTTTTTTTTCTAATAAATTATATCTTATCTATGCTTATGTTGGTGTTGCACGCCCTTTATATCAACAGGTCCGTTGACTTTGGACTCACTTCTAAAACAAATAGACGAACTGCAATCAGAGAAAAAAGAGTTTGGCTTGCAACGTGCCAAAATGAAGGGGTTTTTACTACAAAAAGAAGGTGACCAATTATTGCTTTGTTGCTTTCTATTTGTATATATTATATGAAATCATATAAAATTAATTTATTGACAAATGTTATTACTTTTTAAGTTACTTTTTTAATTGATCGTTAATTCTTAGAGGAACTCAAGCATATGTCTAGTATTTCGGCTGAATTGAAGAGGTTACAAAATGAATTAGACGAGTCCCAGAGCCAGCACACTGTAACTAAGCTAGAAATGGAAGGCAAGTTTGAAGAACAAACTCGGAAGTATAACGAGGAAATTTCATCATTGCATAAAGTCCTTGCTGGTAAATATTTGATAATTTGAAATAGTTTCAGTATTCTAAAATTAATTTTTCTGTAGAAACTTTGGAAGAATCCAGGAGGCGTGAAAATGAAACTAAAATGTATAAAACAATGAACGAAAAATTGGAAAACGAGTTGAAAAATTGCCGCAATCAAATGTTGATTGGCCAGCAAGGAAACAATATTCTGGGTGATTCAACTCCACAACAAATACTTAATGTCCCAGGCACTGTTCTTTCTGCTATTGCTAGAAAAATGACTAATTTAACTTCTAGCATTGAATCTGATGACTACAGAAAAGTAAATTATTGGAACACAGTTTAAATAAATCAATGAACATTTATATAAAATTTTAATCCATCACATTTTAGTCTCAAGATGATGAAGATAACGTTTATAAAGCTCTTGTTGATCCATTGAAAGAAGAAGTTGAAGCCTTGAAAGAAAAAATTAGAGAAATGGACACTGATATCAATTGCTATAAAACAAAATTATCTGAGTCAAAAGAAAATATTGTGAAACTCACTGCTAGTATGTATTTGCAACTCATATTATATACACATCTACAACATTACATATTTTTTAGATAATTCTCAAGAAGAATCATCTAATTCTTCAGCAACTGGTGATTTTGTCTTCCTAAATTCTTCAACTGGCGGTAACTTAATATAATACATTTTTTTTTATTATGTTTTTTTTATTATTATGTATTTCATACTTATTGTAGAAAATAATATGGTAAAATGTGAACAATGTTCCTTGTACAAAACCCGTGTGAATGAAATGCAAGAACAATTAAATGAAGCAGATAAACGTCTTCATTCTATGGACAAGATCAAGGATGAACATGATAAAGAAACTATTTATCGTAAGCAGATGGAAGAAAAATGGAATGAAAAATTAGAAGAACATAAAAATAAGGTAAGCAATTAAAAATATTTTTAACTATTAATACAAGATGATTAATTTGTGTATACTAATTTAGGTACAAGAACTAAAGAGTTTCTCTGACCATTCGCATGAAGTACTGAGTGATCTTAAAATGCAATATGAACAGACAGTCATAGATTTTCAAAATGAATTAAAACTTTGTACAGAAAATGGTGCTAAAATGAAGCAGCATATATTAAAGTATATATTAAATAAATCTGGATTTATTTTTTATTACGAGTATATTTGAAATTGTTTTAATTCTTCTAGACTTGAAGAAGAAAATCATAATTTCAAAGAGAAACACATGAAATTCTCTGTGCAGTTACAAAATGAAGAAATTAATTTACCCAGTTCAATAGTGGTTAGTAAAATGTTCTATAAATGTTTTCAAAATAAGTATAATAAATTTACACCTTAGGAACTTCAAGAGTATTTGTTAAAACGTAACGAAGAACTTATAGCCATGTCCATAGTAAAAGAATCCATTGAAGAAGAAATTAATAGAATAAAAAATAGCGCTGCTATTTATGAGAGCCAAGTGCAAGGACTGAATTCATCAGTATCTTTTCTAGAGTAAGTATAAATTAATTAAATGTATATCTTAGTTTGAAAATACATTTGTCACAATGTAATTCTTTTTTTTCTTGTTAAATCAAAATTATTAGTATCCAATTATAGGTAAATATATTATGATTATTTAATTTATAGTGTGCTTGTTTATTAACACATTAAGTACAAAAATTAGATAAAAGTGGATAAAATCAATTAAAGTTAATTAAAAATAAAATTTAACTGTTCTTACATTATTGAATGTTTTTAAATTTCTTTACAGTTTTTAAAATAACTGAAATAAATTAAAAAAAAAAAAAAAAAAGCAGAATGTATGGGACTTAAAAATCTAATTTTTTTTCATTGCAACTTGAAAAATAAAAATATTGTTGAGTATAAATTTTGTTTACTACTACATCACTATTCTTTTATTCTTCAGATATGTTATTATTTTTATTTTATTATTTATAGATGTTTTAAAGTATCTTCTTTTATACATTTTTTCTGTATAATTTTAATAAAATCATTGTAATTTGGCAATAAAATCTTAAACATTTAATATAGTTTTTTTTATATATTTTTCCCAGTAGTGTATTTTCATTTTTTTATTTGTATTTTTTTTTGGAGGGGGGCAGAGTTTAAAGTTTTTTTTAAAAATAATTGATTTTATAAAATTAAAAAAAATTCATATATGGTATGAATAAATAATTATGTTATACTATTAATATTATAAATATAAATGAAGAGTTATTTACAACCACTTGAATAAATTAATGTTCTCTTTCTTTGCACCATCATAACAATTCATCTATGACTTTTTAATCTTTTTTTCTTCTGGGGGGGGAGGGGGCTGATAATTAGAACCTCCCCCCTAGAAAGCATACCACAAGTTGTTCCTACTTATATATATATAAAAAAAAAAAATTGAAAATATTACCATTTATATATATATTATAATTTATAACACATGGCGTACTAATGAATACTTCTGTGCTGTCTCACTGTATATGTCGTTAAACAATGTGTAAGTAATTCTATTGGTTGTCTGACCAAGATAAGATTAGATTGGTAGTATTCATACAATATATTTACGACAATTTAACATATAAATCAAAAATTATAGATTTCGTGAAATAATCATCATTTAAAAATAACAATAACTTATAAAAATTTAAAAATTTAAGTTAAAAAAAAAATCAAAATTCCAAAAATCTATGAATATGCAATTATATGCATTATGTTTAATATATGTAAAAAATATGTAAAAAAATTTTTTTCTATTTAAATGAGAATAAGCCAAATTGTGGACAAATCTAACAACCAATCAATTTGGACCTAAGGAAAGAAACATGCAAATGCATATAAGTCCTTGCCTTAGTTATAAACATATAAATAATTAAATTATATTTATTATATTTTATATATTATTTATATTTTTTAGAAAACAATTATTGGAAGAAAGAAGTCGTTTTTCTGAGGAAATAAAAAATACAAATCGATGCGAAAAAGAATTGATCAGCTGTCGCACTCAACTGGATAATGTTACTAAAAGAAAGGTAAAATTAAATGTCCATTATGTTAATTTTTACTGGTATTATTTCAAATAATATAATGTATATACCATCTGGGTCTATTTATTATACATAAATTATATCATTTTAGAATAATATGTATAATAATACATTTTTGTTTTTAATATTCATCAGCTATAATTATAATATTGCTGAGATTAAATATTTACTCTATCTTAGCATTTTTTTAAAAATTAATTTTATCTCAAATTTTTATTTATTTTTTAGCCTACTTTCTATAATTATTTAAAATCTTATAAATATTGCTTGGGTATAGAATGGTCTTTATATATTATTTATATTGTGATGACAGAGTATTGGTCTAATGCCTTTACATAAATATAATAATTTGGTGGGGGAGAAATTTGTACTGGGCAAATAAAGGGAAAATAATACCAAGTTACAGGAATAATAATAACACAATAAAATTATGATGTAAAATAGTATGATATGGTCGATGGTGAACTGTAGTAACTAGTAGTGAGGTAAGATGATGACTGATAGGCAATGGTAAAAAATAAAATGACATGGAAAACTTGAAACTGATTCTTATTGATCATAAATTGGATATACTGGATATCCAAGATTGGTCAAACAACATCAGTTGTTGGAACAATATTTAAATTTAAATTGAAGATAAGAAAAAAGAAAGAGAGAGCTTACAGTGTTACGTTAACAGTTAAACATGAAGATTAGGTATAAAATGCAACATCTGAAATAAAAGTAGTAGAAAAACCATATTTTTTCAATTAATTACTAATTTACTGAACTTTAAATTATTGTGTCTATTATTTAAACCGTGGTCATATAAACATTTGGATTATGTTTTAGACTGAATTAGAATCTATGGTTCTTGAACAGCGAAATAAAATTGTTGCTTTACAAACTGACCTTACCAATAGTGAAGAAGTGCAACGTGATTTTGTTCGATTATCCCAGTCGCTTCAACAAGAACTTGAACGTATACGAGAATCTGGAACATCGGTAGTATAAATCTCAACTGTTCTATACCAAATCTTTGTAACAAATTTATATATATGTTATTTAGGTGCGATGGGAACATGAAGAAGATATTACTGACTGTCGTGATTGTAGTGCTGTTTTTTCTGATCCTAGGATTCGAAAAGTATTTGTCTTGTTTTATTTATTATGTTTATAAAATGTGTTTATTAATAAAACTATGTTTTCTAGGACCATTGTCGACATTGTGGTAGAATATTTTGCCCATCATGTTTGTCTAGAACTGTAAAAAGTGGACCAAATATGAGAGATTCTCATGTTTGTCGAGTTTGTCACACTTTATTAGTTCGTGATTCAGCACCGTATTTTAGCACTGAACCACCTCATCAGTTTAACTAAAAAAAAAAAAAAACCCCAAAATAAACGTTTGAGTGGTTACCTTTACATGGTGATACTAGAATTTAATTATAATTCTTGATTTGTTTTTAGTTTAAATATTTTTTTTTATCCCTTAAAATTTTATTTTCAATGTTCATAAATTGTTGTGATTATATCATTATATATATATATATATATATTTTTTTTTTTGTCTATTATAGCAGTAAACACTTCATTAATTATTAAATAGCCTGTTATTTATAATTATAAAATTAAATATTCACATTTATAGATTTCCTTAATTTTCTAGTTCCTCATTGTTCAAGTTCTATAATTAGTTATATAATAATTGTATAATTATTATTCATCAGTCTGAGTTTTTAATTCATCTTTCGTCTTCTTACTATAATTTGTTTTCTTAAACATATTTTCTATCTTTTGAATTATTACATTTTTTTAAAACAATTATGATGGTTATGTATTTATAAATTATAAACTTTTGTAAAACTAGCTGACTATTTTATGTTAAATTGTTCATTATTGTACCTGGGAATAGAATAAACTATAATATTGTTATATAGTGAAATGATATATATTAATGTGACAGCCATTGTATCACCAATTCAAAAATCTTGATTTGAGGATTCTGGTGTTCTGTTTTGGTATTTTTGTTTTCTAGAGTGTTGGTTTTGATTTTTTTTTCTTTTATATATATCCACTTTAACTCTAGAACTAAAATGCAGGTAAGATAATAGTGGTGGAATTTGCAATTTGGTCTTCAGACTGGATAATGTTAATAGGCATATGCAGTTTTAAAGAAATAATCCTTTTCTTTAGTTAAGTGATCTGGCAAAGTTTTAGTATAAAAATATAACATTTTTATATTCTTAGTCTAATTTTTGGTAGATTATTTTTTTTTTTATCAACATGTTTAACTTGAATTTTTTTTTACTTTTTTTCCTTTAATCAGGGAAATATCTTAAGGAAATAGATTTTTTTCCAGTCAAAAATAAAAAATCACGCAGAAAGGGGTTAAAATCTTCTTGTTTGACGAAGGAGAAATTATTTTTACCAAATACTAAAAAACATGTTTTATCTGTATCCAAAGTTTTATTCTGATTTGATGGACCAATTTTTTTTTAGTAATGATTTAAAGTTAAAAATTGATGTAAAAACAGAAAATTCTGTAAAACCATACAATAACTTACTTACTTAAATGCTTATGAAATAAAAAAATGACTAAAGATTCATTAAATTTTTATTTTTCAGTATCGTTAGGTTAGTATATGAGTAAGGTGATATTACATTTTCAAGTCTTAATATCCAGAAATAAAAATTTTATTTCATAAAAACTTTTTAAAAAAATGAGGATTTTGAAAGTTTTATATTTATTTTATTTTATTTATTTATTTTTGTAGAAAAGACCATAAAAAAATTTTAATTCAATGAACTTGTTAAAATTCATGTTATTAAACATTCTTATTTGAATTGCGTAACATTCGATAAAACAGATATCTTCAGTAAAATCACAATACCATCATTATGGCTGGATAGTCAAAGTGAACGATCCCAACATTTATGAATTAATTGCACTGCGACAAAACACATTTTGGTCACTTTAATTAATTTGATGAAAAATGATTTCCTTAGTTTTTGGCTACCTACGTATATAAATGAATTGTGTTCCACGTAGTTTGTTCTTCGGTGATGATTTCACGTTTAATAATCGACTAGTAATTTTATTCTCAGGACCGTTCAGAGGGGGGGGGGGGCAACGGGACCATTTTGCCTCAGGTCCTATTGTTGGAATATTTTTTAGGGGGCCCCCATAAAGTTTTGATGTATAATAATTAATAATAAAGGCTCGATTACACTGAGCAATTTTACACGCTGCATGTCGGCGATTAAAGTTGCACGCTTATGAGCGTGTAGTAACTTGTCCGATTACATTGAGATTAAACTATAAACAATATGAATAATATTCAATTCTATTATGTAAGTATGTAATGCAGTACATGAATTTAAATGTGCTTGATTGATTAAGGTTTGGAAGATATACGTTTGCAAGAATTTTGTTATTTACAGTGAGTATTTTGTTTATCATATCTTAATGTTATGGTCGAAAGGCCCCCAAATTAATTTTCACCTGGGCCTAAAAAACTTTGGGACGGCCCTGTGTATTTCTATTCCGAGATAAAGATGCAAATTTCTCGAGAAACATGTCGTGCAAAAAGTAAAGCTTATATGTATATATTATTTCGTTTCTAACTCGATTATTGACCTTGGTTTTACTCATTGTTCAATGGTTACAATCATCTCGATGTGGCGATATCATATTGTACGACTATAGTTATAATAATAGATGTAGCTATTCGTTTGTTTTCAACTAGGAGTTACTCGTGCATGCTACGAGGTTAGGTACGCAATTGTATCACGTTTCTTTTCGATGTCCAAACGTTAAATAAAATAAAAAAAAAACACCGAAGAAAAACATGTTTACAGGTCGTTTTAATCACATATCAACTAACAAATTAAAAAAAGAACATTTATATTATACATTGTAGTAACTAAACAATAATAATAATTGTCATTTATTGCACGTCATAAGCCGATCTTAAGTATTAACATGTATAACTATGCGTATTTAATATATAGTACTAAAAATTATTATTATTTTATACATCTAAATAGTAAGACCTTTTCGCGAAGTTATAAGGTCTATTGTAAAAAAAAAAATAAATAGTTTTAATATAATATCATATAATACATTACAAAGATTATTACATTAAAATTATCATTACTCATCCCAACTCATAACCCTACACGCATTGATTGTCTAGCTAACAATATCTTCGATTATATAATATTAAAATTAGATTATATTTATATTTATTTATAGTTAATATATTATTATATTTTGTTTTTATAAAAGTATTCACGAATTGTTAGAAAAATACACCATGTATGAAATGGTTTATGGAAATAAATTGTCACAAAGCGTTTGGCCTGGCGGCCCGGGTCGTGGAGTTAGAAAAAAAAAGTGATTTTTTTTTTTAAAATAGTCATATCACAAAGTCATAGACGAAGCAAAACCCTGTTCTCACTTTTCGGTTAACCTATATAATATTTTATATAATACGCATCGCCGTGGCTACTGTAAATCGAGAGATTTCTATTTTTTTTTTTTTTTGTTTAGCGAATGTTTTTACTGAACAGAGCGGTAAAGCAGCGACGTAGGTAAGGGGGAGTTTTGAAGGTTAAATCCCCCTCCCCATTGCTAAAATCCCAGCCGGTAAATAAATAGGTAATAATAAAAATAATTATTACCTAAACATATCAAAATCCTCCTCCCCCTCCATAAATAATGTTTACCTACGCCCTCGGGGTAAAGAAAATGTTCATTTACGTTTTCGACAAGAAAATGTACACAATTCATATCTATTATACATGTACGAAAGATTTGAAAAATAAAAACAAACGAAATTTATAACAACAATTATTATTATTTCTATTATTATATTGGTGAAACGTTGTGCAGTTGGTTGTCGATCTCGCACGAGTACGTGGTGTGATTTCTTTTCAGGAAATGGTAAAGTTGCTTGAACGTGGGCCTCAAGTTTTGATCGCGCTTCCAACACTGACACATGAGCTCGTAAATCTCGGCGGGGCACAGGTTGGGTTTCGGCAGGAGTACCTGTAAACACGTACAAAGATGATTTATCTTATATTAGATTTTAATACGCTCGATCGCGTAACGACCGCAGTCTCATGTTTAATCTTTATTATTTTTTTTTTTTTTATAATTATCAAATGTACCGCACAATAAGTGTAATTATGTTACGATCTCGTGTGTAAGGGACATGGCGATTTTATCGATGTGTTCGTTCCACAGTAGATTTTTGTTACGTTGGATTACATTGAAATCCCCCGTTACATTCAAAGATCGTTTTCCTCTCGATAATTCAATTTGAAATTAATCGTTTTTTTCGATCGTAACTCGAACAGTGTTATCATTTTTATTACGGTTACGGAACGGAACATTGTGCAGTAATTACATAGCGATTATGACTGGTGTGCGGGTTCGCAGTAGTCCGTGCAATTCAGTGAAATAGAAAACAAGCTTAAACGGAATGTTCTTAAAATTACGGACAAAGTTCGTTTAGTACGGTCAGTTGGAAAAGGTGACCGTAAAAAAAAAAAAAATGTGAAATCGTCAACGAATTCGAAATACCACCGACGGTATATTTAATCGTCAATTGTTCAACAGAAATATAACGTCTCGAAGAAAGTTAACCACGTAATGAACGTCTTTTAATTGCATTTTTGTACGTAGGCGTGCGCAGACCTGCATCAGGGGGTGCATATTATACTTTTGTGTTGTATCTTAAAAAAATGTGTTTGGATGTTTAATAAACTATAATGTATAAATACCTAAATAAACGTAACTTAAATTTCTTATAATTTTGTGGTATATTAGTCTCAATGCATATGCTTTTGCAGTCAATTTTAGCTGTTAAATTATCATATTAAGTTTTTGCACGAAATTCAGAACATTTTGTTTCATTTGTTCTATTACCAGACATCATTTACACATTTTACCTAATATCTTAGAACAAATTACATTTTACTTATTTTTAAACTTAAATTGTAGGTACCCATTTACAACATTACTGGGGTTGCCCGGGCACACCCCCTCCTTGCGTACGCCTATAGTCGGCAATTGATTTCGAAACAGCGTCGTCGGAAGTCAACTGCAAGACGTCGAACGCACAACGTTTAATGCCTATTACACCGCGCGGTAACCTGTACGTTTTAATTTGAAATATAGGTTTACAAGGGATTAGATGTTTTCGATTTGCCGACAAATAGGTCGAAGCCGCTTGGTCGCGTGATAAACGGAAAACTATTGTTTACACGTAAAATCGGTTCGCGGGGCCACAGGAAACGGGTGAAAAAAACCGATGAAAACGCACGCGTGTGCGTGTGAAAGAGATACCCGCAAGGATCGTAAAAGTTTTCTTTAGTTGTACAAATATTCGGTTGCATTGGCTCGGATTCGCACTGTTCCGAGATTGTTGCCGATTGTTTGCGAGTATATCATGGGCGTATTTTAGGGGGAGGCCGAAGGAGCGGTCACCCCCCCTGAATCCGTATTTATAACGAAATCAAATTACGCGTGGCTATGAATACTGAATTGAGCTTTTTGTCGGGTCCATACTCAGTGAAAAATCAAATAAAACACAAGCATAACTTTCAAAACACAGGTGTTAAAAAAGAATTACACAAAAGTCGATTGTAAGTGGATCCGTTATTAGATGATAAAAATCACAAATATTAAGGATTCACCTGATTTAAATATTATCAAAAATTTTACTTGTAAATTTTAAATCTGAATTAAAGATAAATTTGATTCGTCCCCCTTCCCTAGAAGTAAGTCTATATATGCCCCTGGAGTGTATACAATAATTATCCGACTGAAACGTCGCGTAACGCGTGTTCATCGAAAACCGCAAAGTAGAAATAATCATACGATTTCGGAATAAAAGTTTCGCTTGAAACGATTTACACCCATCTACACGGACGCTGAACACTTATTGTTATTTAACGTAACAGCGCAGTCTCGCTTGTTGAAAAAAATAAATAAATAATAAAATAAATATACTCTTTCGAAAATTATCGTTCGCGCGTTTACAGTTCTAACCGTCAGCGCGTTTTGGTCCCGTGCCAGTGCGCTCTACACCATAATCAGTGGCGTAGGAAGACTGGATAGTGCCCCTGGCAAACTTAGAAAAAGTTACCTTTCTAACCAATTAAAATTTGATGTTATGATATTTTTTTTAACCTTTAATTTTACTAATATATTTAAGTGTACAATTTTTTTTTATATGTTATTATTACAGTGTTAATTTTCAACTTTGAACATTTGCTTTTCTCGCTTCATGACTGACAAATTCATCGATAATTTCTTCGTATAAAATTTTTCATTTAAACACTTTATTTTCATAACTTAATCATTAAAATTACATGTAGTGTGTACAAGTAGACAATATCTACGTATTTCAAAAAGTATAATGGAAAAATGTCGATTTAATTGTAGGATAAAAATACGGCTTTTGCACAATTTTCCGCCCCTTTGAAATTTGCGCCCCTGGCACAGTTCGCGATACCCTTGTTACGCCACTGACTATGATATCGCAAACATTATTACGACGCAGATCGCACGTGTTTTAATTTCTATTCTATTCGTCGTCACCGTCGTTCATTACTCACTTGTAGCTCGCCCCCGTAGTACATTTGTTCCGCGTTGTGTATGACCTGTTCGTTGGTAAGGTGCGGGAACGGTTTGTCTCTGGCCATGGTCAACAGCTCCCATGTCGTTACCGCGAACGACCACACCGTGCTTGGACACGTGTAACGATCCTTTGCAAAACAAACAAACCGTTATCGTTAATCGTTAGGTATCGTTTCGTCGTGAGCTTCGGTTAGCCCAAAGGAGAAACGCGTAAGATTATAATATTACAAAATGTTGTCCTATTTATAAGGAATAATATCGGTTTACGCTGTACACCACGTAGTCTATAGTCGTTGTACTTTAACAAACCCAATAAATAATTAATAAATAATTACCTTAAAAACCTGTTTTATTGGATAACGGATTATATAAATTAACGGTAATATAACCATATGAATAAGCATATTATTACCAGTAAAATGCTCTCCCACGGAAGCCATCGGATTGGTGCCGGAGGTCTGTTTCCGATTTCGCTATAGTCCTTTTTGTAAGCCGGATTGCATATGGCCACGTCGGCCACTTTAATGGAGTAGCCCCTCGAAACCAGGCAGTTCCTATTTTTTTTTTTTTTTTTTGAGTGAAAATAAACGAACCATGAACGTTAAGGGAGTGCAATAATAATAATAATGGGCTTTTAGGAGTAAAAAAAAAAAATCTTCTTACCTGGCTGCTAAATCTTTGTGCACTACGTTCTTGGATTCCAGATACTTCATGGCCGATGCGATTTGAGTGGCCATAAACATTAGCGTCGTGTATCTGTACATGTACAATAAAAGTTATAATATGATCATAAGCAATAGGTGGTGTTATTTTATACAATTTTTTTTTAGTCTTACCCCCTCTAAATTGATTCCAACGTTAATAAAAATTAGGAATACAAAATCGCATTTGTATTGTCAATAGTTTAGTTAGTCACATTGTAAATAGAATAGGTTTAACCTGTGCCCTCTAGTCTTTAAAGTTCAAAGACGCGCTTTTTTTCAAACAACCATGGTTTTTTTTAAATGTTTTATTGATATCTTGTTGTAACTATCTCGTATAAATATACGTATAAGATATTATTTACTGTAAATACATTTTTCTATACTTTTTGTACTGTACATTTTTGTGATAAATGTAATATTTTTTAATATAACTGATTATGCAACATACCACACACATTTATAAATAACGTAACAGTTAAAAAAGATTACAAAACAACATTCTATTATTTTTTTAGTTCCTAATAAATGTTCCTAATAAAACTTATTTATTATACGAAATAAGGCACAGCACATTTTAGTAAAAATATTTAATTCTACAATATCAATTAATTAAATTATGTTTTATTTGATTATATTATACCCGTGGCTGGAGTACAAGTTAAGATCGACATGCAATTTTCTATATTCAACTTTCGTAAATATTGGAATCAATTTACGGGGTAAGACTGAAAAAAATCCAATAATGAAAAGTAAGGGCCACCTTAATATATTTATATGTACTTATATATATTTGGCAAAATCCATGTATCCTTCCTACTGAATTATTATGTATTATTCTACGACCGGATGAAAAAGAAAAAATAAATAATAACCGATGGATATACCGATTATAATTACTAGAAAACACATAATTTGTATGCGAATTAATAATGGAATGTAGACTAGAGTAACTATATGAAGAAAATAAAAAAACAGGACAGTTGTTACTTCCCTCTCCTCCCTTAAAAAAATCCCTCATCCATATACATTCACACATATCTCATATGCACACAAATCTCTCCAAATCTCTGTCATATCACAATTATTTTTTTTTTTACTTTACTCTTTTTCAGTAAAATAACCTAAATAATAAAATATTTTCTTTTCATTATTATTAAATAATATTTTCTCTAAATTATTCATCAAAAAACACAGTGTAGCATTTCAAAATGACTATAATTTTTTAAACAATTAGAAAAATTTAATTTTTAATATTACAATTAAAATATTAAACAATGTATTGTTACATACAGTAACGCACACTCATTTTTATCGATATCGGTCGAACACATTATTTTAATACCGACCATCCACCCATTATCCATAAACATTATCAAAGCAACTCCAATGAAGGTAATTTTGGAGCTTGAGGTAGTGGAACTTAGCACTTGCGGCATGAGTCTTTATCCAATCGAGTTTCACATTTTCAAAATTTCAATTAAATTTTAGAAAATTGTTAATATTTTTAATTGCTCAATTTTTTTCAGGAGTCGACTGATCCCTTTTACCCATGAGGTGTACGCCACTGGTTACATATAGTTGCTGAGAAGTTGTTGAAAGAAATATCATTTTTTTCTAGTGTTTTAAATACATCACACCATTTTTTTGTGATATTTTTTGAAAATTTTTTCCATTCTACATTTTTAACTTATATCACATGAACTACATGATTATATTCATCAAATAACTTTTCGTCATCCACATTACAATCTTGATTAATTTTTTTAATTTTAAATAGATATTAAATACTTTCTTGAAAGTTTACCCAAGCGGGAATATCTAATAATAATTGAGTCCAATGAAAATTGTTGAACGGTTCAAAATGACAACTCCATTTTTCTACATAAGATAAGAATACACTATAAAAATCATCAAACTTTCCATAAAATAATTTTTGCTGTATATCTTTTTTTTATCAAGGTTTTCAATAATTAAACATATTTAGATATTTTATTTATAAACATTAATACGTTAAATAATAAATAATATGGAAATAACGAGATTAAAAAGGGATAATTTTCTAAAAACGGGATAAAAAGCGTCCCACTCGAAGTTTGTCGGGACAACGGGACTTGATAATCAAAAAGAGACAATCCCGTTTTAAACGGAACGTTTAGTCATCCTAATGCAGACTGAAAAATCAGACGCATAAAAACTAGGCAATAGGAAATATATTTATTTATTAGACGTGTTACAATTATAATAGTGTTTATTGTAATGATAGAGAAGATATCGTAGTTGTATTAAAATTGCGAAGGGAAATGATGCCTAAATATTCGTAACGGTATACCTATATTACTACGGTAGATTTATTCCGTATAGTAATTGAATCGAAAAGGTGAATTTAAATTTGCTGTTTACGCGTGTTCGTCACACGTCGCATAAGTTTGGAAATAATATGGTCTTACACCCGGGACGAGAACTGTGTGATGGGCGAAAGGAAAACAACGCAATGCTTTTTTAACGGAAAACACGGCACAGCCCCGCGCGGGAATACTGTCCTCGTGGGATAACGGAGAAGTGAAAACCGAAGGGCCAAACGAATTACAGTGTTCAATGGATATTTGAATTTCAAAATAATCGCTATACATCTCGAGGGTTATGTTTTGGATGGCGATGTAATCATCAAACGAGTAGTTTCTGTTCTCGCCTTAGTGTTTTACATTTCGCGTGGCGATTCGGGTTACAATGTAATGTTTGGAGGTGTTACTGAGTTATTCGTACCGACGGCAGAAATGATTCGCTACTCTCATAACGCTTGACCACTGCGGTGCGAATAACTTTTTTTTCCGTCCTCGAACTACTTTTAATCTTTTTAAGAGTTTACGAATTTCACGAAGAATTTTTCTATAAAAAATAGATACTATCGTTAACTATAATCGACTTGGTAATTTCCTTTGTTCTAGCCGTAAGAGTATGTGAAACTAATCATGACGACAATCGGTCGGCGTTCACAATCCAGCACTGTTGAATCGGATTCGCCACCACAGCGAAAATGATGCTCACGGTCATAGGAGTTTAGGGGTTACGGACAATTCACATCTAAGCGAAATGCACGGTCGAATCAGAACTTTGATATTGTCACGATGTCCTTCGCTATTTCTACGATCGACGACTCGAACATATCTAACAGCGATGCTGGCAGTGTCCATATGTACACGTACAATACATGTACGTACTCGTATACGCGTTTATACTTCGATCCTGGCCGACATGTCGAGAAGCAATAAGAAATTATGTCGCGGAATGCGATGTTTAATATTAACGTCGTGAACTGATTTATTTATGAATTTTTTTTTTTCATAAGTTGCCCGCGTTCTCAACGTTCCAGCAACAGAGTGCTATTATTTATCGTTGAAAACGGTGTAGAACACTAAT